TTACGTAGAAGTGAAGGATCTGAGAGACATTTGGGAGGCAGACTTGAGACAGAAGAGGATTCAGGATACCTTCTAGTTTTCTGAAGCAGGAACTGGATGGTGCCATTCACAAACATAAAGACAAGATTCAGGACATAGGACAGATAATAAGCGCGGCTGAAAGCCTGATGAGTTTCAAGTGCCTCTGAGCCACCTGGGTGGAGATGACCAGGAGAACCTTGAGCTAGAAATATTTAATGGGGGGGGGGGTCTCATCTTTATAGAGATTGTTGAAGCCACAAAAGTGTGCAAATTGAAATAATTTGAGGCTGTCATATCATACATAAACTTATTAAAGACCATTTCTAACCTCAGAGCACACTTTTATATGCTTAAGTTCTCAATAAATCTAAAATAAACTGACAAGTTACAGATTCTTTATATGAAGATACTATCTATGTCTGCTTATAAGATCATTTGTTAGTGGCTACATTTAAAAAAAAATAAACATTCTGATGATGCTACTCTGATGACAAGATAACATAGACCCCTATGCAAATGCTTTAGTCAGTCTGTATAGTACATCCTTTTACTAAGATAATATTGGTTATTCCTGAAGGATATAAACAGATGACAACTTTTCCTTCAAAGACTTTACAAGGAAGACGTAAAAGCTGAGCAGACACAACTTGAAAAATAATCATTTCCATAACTCAGCTGGACATATGTTAGAAACGAATATATATGACCTAAAAGCACCTAAAGAGAAATAGCATAGAATTTGTTTAAATGAATAAATGCTGAGTAGAGCCACAAGAAGAGTAAAAATCTGGCAGAATAGATGAAAGAAGTCTTTCTGGAGAAGGCAAGTTTTAGCCAGGCTTAGAAAGTTATAAAGTTTCTGACAAACAGAATAACGATCAAAGGCAGAAGGAAGGGACCAAAACTTATTCCATGAGCAAGAGCAAAACAACTAGTGTAAGCAGTTTGTACATAACTGGAGGGTTGGGGCAAACCAGGTGAAGGAAGGTGCTCGGAACACAGGCTGAAGAGTTTCATCCGCTACAACAGGGCATCACCAGTAACTCACGGGAAGGAAAATGATGAAAAGCTCTAATTATAAATTCACATGATTCTAATTTTTTTGTACCATAACATCAGACATCAAATGAAACCAGTATGTTTTCAGTATAAGTACAAACTTAAACAACTCTGGTGTTTAAAGAATTTCCGATTTAGTTAATCTTGGCATGGTTATATAGGGCATCTCAAAACCTAAATTCTGGTAACATCAATATGCCCATCATTCAGGATCTGTCAAATGGGAAAGCAACACCCTCCTCCCTAAAAGAAGCATCTGCTTATCCTTATGTTCCTTTAAGTCTGTGTCAGGAAAAGCAAGCATAGTTTTATGTATGCAACTCTGAAATGCTTAATGCTAAGCTATGGAATGTTGCCAGTAAATATTATGGCAAAATTGCTCATGGACAATTACATTTAAGAACTTTTAGGCCTTAGAACACCACAACTAACTTTATCAATCTCTAATCTCAATTGATAATCTTTTGGGCCTGAATGCGCAAAAGCCAAATGAGACTTCCACACAGATGTCAAAAACAACGTACCCACTCATCACCTTTTAACAAGCAGCTCTCCTTGACTTCCTTAGTGCTGAGAATACTGTCAGAGAGCCAGGTATAGGAACTCACTAGGTTAGCAAAATGTGAGTTCTAACTTGGCTCTTCCATGAATTTTTGTGCAATCCTGAACAAGACAAATAATTTCTGAGCGCTTGGTTCATTTTGGTTCTTCTATAAAAGTAGAAAGTTATTCCATTGTATATGAGACAGCATGGATGGACCTTGAAAATAGTATGCTAAGTGAAGTAAGTCAGTCAGAAAAGGTAAGAACCATGTGATTTCACACATATGTGAGATAGTAAACTGAAACTCATGGACACAGATAACAGTGAGGTGGTTAACAGAGGGAACAGGGTGGGGAGGTGGTGGGGGGTAGAAGGGGCCTAATACAAGGTGACGGAAGATGGTTTGACTGTGGGTGGTGGGAACACAGTGCAATATACAGGTCTTGTGTAACAGAAATGTACACTTGAAACCTATATGATCCTATTAATCAATGTCACCCCAATACATTTAACAAAAATTTTTTTTTAAAAAAGTAGAAAGTTAAAGATGATCATTAAGATACCTTTAGCAATAAAATTCCATGATTCTTCCCCTGTCCTTTATCCCAGTATCACTAAGTTCTGACCATTTTTCCTATACAAAAATATTTTATATGCATTTTCTATTTCTATTATCATCATATGATCACAGGTCTTTATGAACCAATTTTCTTATTCATGTTTCTTCCAGGATCTCCACACCCTGATTTATACTACATACACCATATATCCTATATTCTTTTTCTTTCTTCCACTCTTTTCTGAACCTTGAGTGCGGAGTAAAATTAATCACACTATTCTTTCCATGCTCTGTTCTTATTAGCTGTGAATCATTGCTCTCATTTGTTTATTTTTGTTTTCCTGTGCATTCTCAGTCCTCTTCTCATTCCCTTCATTGTGTGGTTCACATTAAAATGTGATATATCCTTGGAGATATATATAGATATATACACATATATGTATACATTAAGTTACATATTGCTATTTGCATGTGTTTTTATGCTATAGATCTTTTTTACTTTTTAAAAAATTTTTTTTATTTTTTAATATATTTTTTATTGATTTCAGAGAGAGGNCATATATGTATACATTAAGTTACATATTGCTATTTGCATGTGTTTTTATGCTATAGATCATCTTTTTTACTTTTTTAAAAATTTTTTTTATTTTTTAATATATTTTTTATTGATTTCAGAGAGAGGAAAGGAGAGGGAGAGAGAGACAGAGACATCAATGATGAGAGAGTCATTGATCGAGCCCTCAACCTGGGCATGTGCCCTGACCGGGAATGGAACCCCGATCGCCTAGATCCTAGGTCGACGCGCAACCGCTGAGCCACGCCTAGCCGGGCCTTTTTTACTTTTTAAATACAAACCCTGTTTTATAGATCTATGTTGCTATAACTACATCTTTACATGTGAACACATGTTTCTAAATGATGCATAATATTCCACAGGATGCAATTACCACATTTTACCTATCCATTTCCTTGGTGACAGACACCTAGGCTGCCTCCAATGTCCTACTTTTACAAATAGTCTCACTCCACAGAGATAATCACTAATTTGAAGTTAGGGCATATCATTCCTGGAGATGTTTTTATTTTATTTTTTTCTAATACATATACAATATATAGACTTTATTCTTTTATTATGTAAGTTGATACATGTATCTCTAAATATGTATAGTATATAACTAAAATATATATCCATAATCAACACACACTATTATTTAAAGCATTTAAAATGTATATAAGTTGCATCATTCTTTAAGCCCCTTTTGTACTCATTACATTCCGCATTCTAGTTCTGACACTGATAGTTGGGAGTGAAGAAGTATCATCACTTCAACATGCATCATCCTGACTGCTATGACTTTTGAAATATTTGTTCATACCCTTTGCCCAGTGTTCTAAGACACGGTGGCCTATGTTAAGAATTGTTTTACCACCCAGAACGAGTTCTAGGTTTTTTAATGATTTGTATAAATATGAAAAAAGAAGTAGATTCTGAAGTACTCTTGTTAAAACCACAATGACTTCTTCAGTGGGTTGAAGAGTGTTCCTCCCAAAATTCAGGTTCACCCAAAACTTTATTTGGAAACAGGGACCTTGTAGAGTAATTAAGGTGAGGGTCTCAAGATGAACCCTCCTAGATTAGGGTGGGCTCTACATCTTAAGATTTGAGTGCTTATAAAGGAGGAGAGGGCACACACAGAGAGCAAACCAGGCCATGCGAAGGTGAAGGTGGGAAGAGATGAGGGTTATGCTGCCAGAAGCCAAGAAACACCTACTGCTACCAGCAGCTGAAGAGGCAGGGAAAGATTCTCTCTAGAGCCTAGAGGGAGCGCAGCCCTACTACCATCCTGATTTCAAACTTCTAGCCTCCAGAACTAGGAGGAATAAATCTGTTGTTTTAAGTTACCAATTATCATTTGCTATGGCAGGTGGGAAACAAATACAACCTCTACATCACTAAATTCAGTGGTCAATTCTCAGAACTCACCTTGCTTTCTCTATTATTGGTTGCACTTAACTCAGCAATCACTCCTTCCTTCCTGACACGCTCCTTTCACCTGACTTCCAGGACACCACACTTCCTGGCATTCTCCTATCTCACTGGTCTCTTCCCAGCCTCTTTTGTTGTTTCCTCCTCTTTACCCTTCACTGAGCTCAGTTGTGGGTTCTTATCTCTTTTCTATATACATTATAATTTAAAGATATTTGTAAATATCTTTACAGCATAGACTGCAGCATAGAACAAAACCTTATAGGACTACACTACTTAATTTTAAGTATCATGAGTGAGAGGAACAAAAAGTGACAAAATTTTTTTTGCTCACTGGCGTTTTTCCTGTGAAGACTATTAATACAACAATTATTAAACCACTGGACCACAATACACATGCACAGTATTAAACTGCTGATTAAAATCCCCTTATCGACTGCCTTCTCCTCCTCTTCCCTGTCTCACGTCTCTACCCCCCTCATGGTGCTCGCTGGTATTACATCTAAACTAGTGCTCAGGATCCTCTTCTCAGGGTCTCTTTAGGGGGGAATCCAAAGAAAGACGTGTAGAAAAATTTTATCTAAGGAAATTGATTTTCTTCCATAAGCACTGGTTTTACCATCATGAAACATCCCTTTATATATATTAGCTGCCTCCTAACAGTTTTAATTTCAGTCTCTTTCCATCCCAACAGATCATACATACAAATACCTATTGACAGAAACTTAAAAGGGAGGGGGAAAAATTCCATCGGAAAAATTATGGCATCACCACTTCCTCTGAGGAAAAACAATTAATACTAAAATAACAAAATTCATTTTTAAAAATACCTAAGTTGTTTTCGGAGTCGCTCGATTTCCACATTTTGTTCAGTTACGGTTTTCAGAAAGTGTTGGTTAGTCTGCCACAAGAAAAAAGTAAAAATATTCAGTATCAGAACATTTAAAACTATTTCTTTAAAGATTAACTATAAGGCATATCAGTAGAAACATAAAATGAAGTAATGACAATGATTAGATGTTTTGAGGGTAAAATAGAACGCTGGCCATCTTTCCTTGCCTTTACTACTTCAGTGTCACCTGCTTGCCTCCAACTAACCTACATCTGCATTTCTGGCCACCTGAGCCTCCTCCACTCACCTAACCGTGCAGAAGGCTGGGGGTGTTGTAGAAATCATGTGTCCAGTTTGTCCTGGAAGAGCCTGAGACAACAATGACTGAAGGGCATTGGTGTGCAAATACTCCAAACTCTCGCGTCCCACGGTGGAAAAACTCTAAGCTTGTGTCTATGCTGGCTTCCACAGTTCATTAGAGGGATTAAGTTTCAGTTAATTCACTTGACTGTTGAAAACCCTATTGGCTGCCCCTCTGCCCTTCCCAACTGGTGCTCCCTGTATTATCTCCTAAGGAAACTACATGCTTTGAAACCCTTTCCTCAGTCTGCTTGTGAAGGAAACTAAGGTAAGATATGAAGCAGTTTTCCATGTGTAGAAAAACTTTTCTGAGGGAATGCCTTTCTTCTGTAAGTGCTGGTTTTACATGATGGTACAAATTCCTTATCTTTCTCTATACGCCTTATATGCAAAGTCATATAGATGACAGTTACCCCCTAACTGATAGTCCTGATTTCAGTGTCTTCCATCCCAACGGATCACACATAAATCTAACAAAAGTTCCAGAGGCAATTTTCATTGTGCTTCTCTCATACTCTATCCAATTTCATTGACTTCATATTTTTAATATACTAATGTATTTCCCTCTGCTTGGGATGTCCTCATTTTGCCAGCATCCATCCCTCCACACTCCGTGTCATCTGCTCACTCTAAGGCAGAATTAACTGTTTCCTTTTTGCATTTTGATAAAACTTTATATGTACTTTTACAATATACATTGCATTATATTTAAATACCATATTTAACATTTATGTATTTCTAGCTATAATTAGAGCCTGTTTTTGAGGACTAGCTTCTTCCAGAACTCCCAGTGTCTGGCACATGATTTAGTACATTCTAAGTACTTATACCTTTGAGGAATGAATGAATGAATGAATGAATGAATGAATGAATGTCTTTATGAGACATGAAAGAAAGCCTCTGGACTGCATCTTTATCTTTTTTTTTTTTTTTTTTAAAAACATATCTTTATTGATTTCAGAGAGAGGAAAGGAGAGCGAGAGAGAGATAGAAACATCAATGATGACAGAGTCATTGATCGGCTGCCTAGCCTGCAACCCGGGCATGTGCTCTGACCGGGAATCGAACCCCGATCTCCTGGATCCTAGGTCGATGCTCAACCGCTGAGCCACGCCCAGCCGGGCTGCATCTTTATCTTTATGTTGGGAAGTAGACAACTGCAGAACAGAATTTAATATTCAACTCACAGACCACAATTTAAGAGACCAACAGAAAGAAGGATAGAGTAATAAGTAGGTAAATTATACCACACCAAAAAAGTTTTAAAAAACAACAACAAAACCTGGGTGTAACAATAAGAATGAATCAGGAAAGACATATGATTATATGCAAATAACTGAAGGGCTGACTTGAAGAAGTGAGCTTTCTATGATACCCAAAAAGATAAAACCATGCATCAGTGGGAAGAAATCTGATGAGACATTTTTAGCTTTCCAATAATCAGAGTTGAAAGGAAAAGGCTGTTAGGGGAAGTATAATATCTCTTACAGGGGATATTCAAAACAGAGTCTAAATTATCATCTAATGGAAAAGCATTTAATAGAAGGATGTCTATTTCATTTGGGGAAGTAGATGGCCTTTAATATCATTTCAAATTCTCCTGTGAAGCTATTTCCATGACTTCAGGCCCAAATGATTCATGTCTCTGAATTCCTCCAAAATATCTTTGCACCATTAACGTTTTTAGTTATATATACTGTCTTGGCACTAGCATAAGTAACGCTTGTGTTTTCTTACTAGTTGGGAGCACCTTAGAGATAAATGATGTAGAATTAGTAGAAGTATAAACTGGAATCATGAATTTTAAGAAACTAGTGTTGGTAACTAACACTAACTTGGTAGCAATCCTAGCAGGAGCTCAACAACTGCATCTGAATGTGGCCTTGTTCTGTATTTGTGATCAGACACAAATGCGGAAGATTCATAGAATGCGGAGATTAATAAAGGTTCAAGAAAGCATCTCTTTAAGTCACCATCTATTTCAGGACTTTATTCACTGATCATTTCAGAGTCTTTCCGGTTTCACCAAGGTGACAGGGGCTCTGTGGACAAATGCACTTTCTCTTACAACTAGGACATCTATAACAGTGCAAGGAACTTAGTATGTAATTAACAAATATTTTTGAGTAATTTTATAGGGGTAGCAAATCTCAAAAAAGAATATGATTTCAGTAAAGAGAATCTGTAGAGAATATGAACTCTTATTGTATCTACAGTCATAATAAATAAAAATAAATTTGTACTTTTACGTACCATTCAGGTCAGGGCATTTTACCTTCTATGTATTACTAATGTGCACTGGTCATGAAAGCTGTTTTATTTACTTTGTTTATACTCATCAATTTATTGCACATCTACAGATGCCTATTCATTTAATGAGTTTATTTATGTAATCAGAAAACCTTTAGATAGAAACTGCTTAATTTTTAAAGGACATTTTTCTTCAAATTGATTTTGGCTGACACTTGCCCTGGTGCCTGTGCTCTGCATAGGCTCTGAGACATACAAGGTCATTACAATCACTTAGCTGCCTCCCTTCCCACTCAGCAGTCTTGTCTGATACTTCGTATAGACATTAAGAAATACTCTTACACTTAAAAATTTATTTTAACTGCTTTCCTTATTTTAACCACGGTATAGTCTTTTATTTGCTCTTTTTAACACAACTCTCTTTTATCCATCTTGCTACTCCTTTATCACTTTTCTTGCACCCAGTTTAATTTTGGCCTGGAACTATAACTTCTGTACCTTAGAAATTTCAATGTATTTCCTGTGATTACTTAAATATCCTTTTCTCATGACTTTCATCACAATAATTTTGGGTGATTTATAATAAAATAGGGGTTTTGTTGTATAATATACCAAAGAATTACATAATCCTCCCAATTCTAGGGGATATACTTAAAGAAAGAAGGAATATTGTGATGTTAAACTATTAATTTCATGTAGAAATGGAATTTCTTAATTATGGAAATCAGTCATTTTGTTCTGGATTTTGTTAAAACTATTTTAAAACCCTAGGATGTATATTATAAAAAAATTATAAGTGACTGGAAATTCTAGATGTTAATACAAGTAAAATAGGGAGAAACTGATTTAACATTTTTACATGACGAAAGCAGAAAGTTAAAAACAAAAAGAATACAATTGGATAACTTACTTTTGATGGCACAACTCTGCACTTAAACAAAGACATTTTCATTAGGTACTAACAAGAATTAGCAGAGTAACTAAGTAAAACAACAAAAGGGAAGAGAGTAATTACCTGGGATGTCATAATCCCATTACTCAACAATGAGGTAAAATAAAACTCTAAGAAGGAAAAGAAAAGGGAAGGAAAAAGAGAAAGAAAAAAATCTGAAAGAAAAGGAAAGAGAGAGGAAAAAATAAAGAGCAGAATTGGGAGGGCTGATTATATTTTTTAGGGGGGAAAAAATCATTATATTTTTTTAGGAAAATTGAGGTGTACCAGTTAGTATTGGTGGTCAGTCAACTAACAAATGGTTCTTAGTGTCCTGTTATTTTTAAGAAATAAGACTATTCACTGATTTAACAGTTCTGTTCCTCCTATTACATACTTAGCAGTGCAGGAGTCCTTTTCTTTTTCTTTTATTTTGTTTTAAAAGTTTTATTTTATTTTTTCAGAGAGAACGGAAGGCAGAGAAAGAGAGAGAAACATTGACGTGTCTCGCACATTGAGTGGTTACCTCCTGCTTAAGCCCCCACCAGGGCCAAACCTGCAACCAAGGAAGGTACCCTTGGCTGGAATGGAGCCTGGGACCCTTCAGTCCGTGGGCTGATGCTCTAACCACTGAGCAAAACCAGCTAGGGGGTCACAGTATACAGTAATCTCAGGAGATCCTACCAAGAACCCTATGAGTATTTTCAAATTAAAATATAGTTCAGATAGATTCCAGCTTTAGATCTCCAGAAAGTCCTGTGAACCCTGACATGTTATTAATTGTGAAAGAAAAAGACAGATAAAGAGAAAAGAGCACTGCTTACCTATTTTAATTTCATGTAGCAATTTTGTTGTTGTTGAGTTACGACAGCATAAATATTTATAGTGACAATTTCCAGTTTATATAAATAAGTACCCTTACCATTTCTATGTTCTCATTAGTAACATGAAGTTGCTTGGTCAGTTGTTGAAAACTGGTCAGCTGATCCTACAGTAAAAAAGAGAGGGGGGCACATAAAGAGCATTTGGTTTACAATGCTTATTTAAAATTAAGCTAAAATCAAGTTTAAAATCATTATGTCTAAGTCTAGATGAAATCAGTGGTATTTCTATTACTGTGTGAATAATGGAAGAAATGATATATTTTTAAATAAATGGTTACAAAATTAAATAAGGTGGCAATATGTAAACTAAGGTCTATTTTTCTTTTATGTTGTTGTTATTTTTTGTGTGTGAAACCATAACCTAAAAATCAATTCATTAGTAAGTAAATAGACATGCTAGAGAAATTGGAAATTTCTAATATTGGAAATAGGAGGAGCAGAACTGTTTAAAATTCCAAATTTCCAATATTGGAAAGCCACATTCAGACCCATTCAAAACCTACAATGCAAAACATGGCACAGGGGTTACTGTCACCCCCCCCCCCCC